GGAATGATGAAAATTCCAACTTTACCTGAGAAATTTTTCTTTCGAACTGTACATCTGTATGTAGGAAATTTATATGAGGAAAAAGCCCTAGTTCCAGATTCTTAGTTCCTTTAAAATTACCAACATTTTACTTATAATAATTAGCCTTTAGCATAAAGACACTGAAGACGATCAAGGAAATTTCTAAATTTGGATCAATGTAATTGGCAATAGATATATTTAACGATAATTGGTAACATTCTTTAAGTCAATCAACAACAATTCTTCTCTTTTTTTGCCTTGCCCATTTTAAAGCTATATGCTGAATATCAATTGCATCTAAAATGTCTCTTTCACAATAGAGGAGCATCAACGAATTGAGCCTTTCGTCTTTCGTTCTTGCGCGAAGGAAATTTTTTACAATTTTTAGACGGCTAAATGTCCTTTCGTTTTTCGCAACTGAAATTGGTGATGTGAGGGCAAGTCCATATGCCCGATTCGTTAAAGGAAACACTCTCCTTTGGCGGAACACTTCTGCTGCCGCTTCTGCAATATTCTCTGGCTTTCCAGCATTTTTTTCAAAGCAATTTATGTAAGTCTCCATTTCCGCAAAAAGACTCCTTGCATCGGGCAGCAAATTGGCTGGACATAACTTGCATAAATCTTCAACATCTTGCATCTGCAGTGATTGAATTTCAAGTGGTGGTTGAAGAATAGACAGAGGCTTTACTTTTGCTATGCAGCTCTGCAAGTTATCAGAGAATTCGGCAATCAGGGTGCCAAGGACGTTTCTCATCTGGCTTCTGTAAAAAACTTGAAATGTTAAATGGGAAGCTGTTTCTGGATTATCATCTATCCTTCTGGGTGGCCTTATTGGCCTGTGAAACCTCTCATACTCTCTTTCTGGATCCACTCCCATTCGCTTTGCCAAAATAACAGCGGCTTGTATAAGGTTGTCGAATTCATCATCTGAAGAATACATTCTTTGAAGTGAATTGATACTTCCTTTAATTGCTGTTAATGCATCAATGATGTTCAGCTTTTCGTCTTGAAGATGTTCTGTGAGAATTTTGGTCTTCCACATAATGTTTTTCATGAACATCAAGAATGCTATAAAATCAAATCGAAGGATCTTTCTCATTAAAGCGTCTGCATCTGCAGCTATTCTTGGCTCTGCTGAAGTTTCCTTCACATCTTGCAGCGATTCAATGATGATTTCAAATGAGACCCATACTGCTTGTATTGACTCGGCACGGGCAGTCCACCTTGTCCTTGACAGATTCCTTAACTGAAGAGCGTTTTCAACTGCCTTGGTCTTCTCTGATATTATCGAATTTCGCTTTGTACTGCTTGTAAAAAACACGTAAACAGCCTCAAGCTGCTCGAATAAGGAAACAATCAAGGGACACGCACTGGAAGCATGCTCGATTACTGTGTTTGCCCTGTGTCCTTGACATGGAATGTATGGAACATGTCTCTTCAGTTCATTGGAAAGCATTGCCTGTGCTCCTTTACGCTTTCCAGACATTGTTGCAGCAAAATCATATGACTGAAATGCGATATAATCGCTGTTAAGTCCAGCAGTATCTATTGTTGCCAATATAGCCTTTGCGTGCCCTAAACCAGTCTTATCTTTAAGCTCCTTTACTTCTAACAGTCTTTCTTCTGCCTCCCCATTACAGCCTACAAAACGTACAGCACACGACAGACGATCCTGGTGTGATGTGTCAGGCGTAGTATCAGCAAGGACAGAGAACAGCTTGGCATCTCTCACTCTCTTTGTTACTTCCTTGCGAATTTCGTCAGCCAGTAACTCAATGAAGATGTTTTGAAACTCTGGACTAGAATAGGTGACATGATATGGTCTTGAATATTTGTCATCTAACCAACTTTTCAATGTTGGTGAATGTCGTGCCACCAGCTTTAGAAGCTGGAAGAAATTACCATTCTCTTCGATATCACCTCTGAAAGCAAGACCCTGTCTTCCAAGTGTTCTAGTGATGTCTAAGAGATAATTTCAATCACCTTTCTGTTTTGGATAACTTCTTTCTCTTTTTGAATTTCCACAGCCCTCTTACTTTTGTCGTACATAAGATTAATATGTCCTTCAATTTTGCAAAATGACGATAAGTCTGCAACAGCAGAACAATGTGCTCTTGAAGAAAAATGTTGCTCTAGCTTTCCCTTCTTTTCTTTGCCAATACTCTTCATTTTGTGCCACAGTCGTATACCATGCTTGAACCAAGCTTCATTTGACTTCTCTCTTTCTGGACCATGAGGGAAAAGAGAGCAAGCAAAGCAATATGCTGCATCCTTATCGATGCTGTATTCTAAATGCGGATACTCCTCAAACCACTGGGCGCAAAATCTACGTTGTCTTCCTGCAGGACAGGATTCGTTCAGGGGAAATTTTGGTAACGAAGGCTGCTGTGGACCAATCTGAAGAAGAAACTTTCTTTGAAGATCTGTTCTGATATTGGGCCTGTTTCCAGGGTCCGTAGATGTAATAGCCTCTTTCAGGTCATTCTCACTGAGTGGCACCTTTTCATGGGATAGTTTTTCCAGGGTAAGTTGACAATTCTGATGAAGATCCTTGATACTAGTATTAAGTGACTGACAAAAATAAATCGTTTGTTGAAGGAAAGAGCGGCAGTTAGGTACTTCAACATTTGATACCATGTGAATAAGTGACTTCTTTGATTCAACACTTTCGATGATCGCTGCTAATTTTCCTGCACATTGTACCCAAGTACACTGGGATTCAAGCTCTTCACTTTCAGGAATAACAGTTGCGATTGGTTGATCTTGATCTTGACCGATATCTTCGAATGATAATGATGGAAATGATAATCTTTTTTTGGTGTTGTCTTTTAAGGTGGACGACTCTTCGCATATACTGTGTGTGCCATATTGCCCACCCTCAGCTGCCTCTGGTATTTTTGGGCTTGTCACCGATTCTTCAGTGTCTTTCATGGAATCCAATTGAAAAGTTTGCTCACTAGCCTCTGCCGAAGAAGCGATTATCTGAGAAGCATCAGAAGTCAAGCGAATTTCCTTTTCACTTGACGAAGCAGCGGCTGCAAAGGGGTTAGGGGCTGCACCACTTGTTTTATAAGGTATAGCTTTATTCTGTAACAAAAGATGACGATGCTGTATTTCGTTATGTGTCTTTCTGTAGTAGTGGTCAAACTCAGCACCACAAACTCCACACTGAACCTTTAATTTCTTCTTTGGTGGCATGATAGCAAATAAACGATTTATTGTTCATGGGCAACAGAAATTGAAAATTGCAAGAACATTTGTTTTCAAGGTTCCGAATATAGAAGTATCCTGTGCCCAGAAAGAACACGAAACGCTGTATGAAACGGGACAACACAGACAGGAAGTAGGCTAAAGGAGGTCTACAAAGAACAGGGGGAGCTTAGCATACACTCGTTTTTTATTTTATAAAGCGTCAAGAATTTCCCACTGTGGAATCCATGTTTTCCATTGTCTTTCGATTGTTTATTGGCGTTTATCCGGCATGAGCTTTACATGGATTTGACCCTGTGAAATTCTAGTACTGGAAGATTTTTAGTTTTTATTAAATTCTAATCGTAGTTTCTTAAAATATTCCGAATAAATTCTTTCTGATCAATACAGGGTATGAATTTTTCAAAAGTGTAGGCTCGATAAAATAATCTAATTCAAGTTAACCCCCGTCGACAAGAAACAATAACTCCATCAAAAAGCGACAAGAACATAAAAGGACAATAGTGTTAACGAGGTACCATTGGCGCAGTTTGAGATCCAGTGGAGACAGCGCTTCACA